TATTCAAAAATATAACTGTTGTACCTGTGTTGTTCTAATAAAAGCATACTCATTTTCTCGTATGTTCATATAATCTTGATGAAGATAAAGAAAGATCAACCAATGATAATGTGAAACCACTACATATTGGCTACAACACTAACATTGAACCCCTTGAGAAAATATCAAGAAAGAATAACTTTAGAATCATATACAAATATCTGAACACCATTAAAAATAAACTAACTTCAAATAGAAAAACACCCGATGATAAAAAACAAGGCGTTTATATTATACTATGCCAATCCTGTGAGAAAGGTTATGTAGGTGAAACCGGAAAAAGTGATGATGCAACAGTTTCTGAACATAAAAAAGACAAAGCATGGAAACCAAAACAATGCCATTTTTCTTCAAGAGAGATTCTGGCCATCAAACTGATTAGAAATCAACAAGAATTTTACACAAGATGGATAACTACATAAAAAGAAGAATCACTGAAAGTTGCCTGCTTAATTTCAACACCTCCCAGTCACTTTAAACTTAACAACTCCCTGACCTCCTGTGTTCTTAAGGGAATTCCAAGATCAGGGGTCATGTAGGCATTTGTTGACCAGTTTTCTTCCTGCAAGAAGACAATGTGAGACTGAAGAGGATGAACGAATGTGTTTAAACTAGTTTCTCTAATATCAAACTTCTGATAGTTTGTTCCGTTAACTGTGGTTTTTCACTAATTAGTTACTGTCCAACCCACTTGCTGTGACATCATAAAAACCTTTCCTCATAAGAGTTGTTGAAATAAAATCACTGAGAGAAAAAGTGAAATCAAGATAAAACCAAAAATGGGAAAAAGCCTATTTCTAAGTGATGACAGGTTCTGAGTAATATGTTATGAAAGCCCAGTAAAGGACAAGGTGATATAATGGTTCAAAATAGCTGCATCATGAAAGTTTTTGAAAAGAGCAACAAATTTTATGCCAACAGAAATTATTCACCTGAATTTATTTATTTTCGTTCTATTTTCAAAGACTTTCATTGTGGGTCCACTTTGGGTCCCTAAATCACCCGAAGATGTTGCATGCAAAATATGAGCACTGAAAATGGTCATTTACATTTTAATATTGATAAATAATGTCATTTTACTGCTTCAGTGTTAATTTCACAAAGGTTCACTGTAGTTACTTTTATACTGCAATATATTCCTGTTCTCTTACCCGTGAATTTTGCAATATAAACTTTCTCTTCTTAATTTCAGTAAAACTAATTTCCTACCTAATAAATTATGCTGGATCTTTTATTATTGCAACTCCAAAGAGTAAATGTTTCCAACTTAGTTCTTGTGTGATTGAAGAGAATACACAAGGCCAACTACAACATTCTCCTTTCATTACTGAAACTATATACGGTGAACATTTCAACTCAGTTCTTATGTCATTGAAGAGAATATACAAGGCCAACTACAACATTCCCCTTTCATTACTGAAACTATAGACAGTGAAAATTTCAACCCAGTTCTTGTGTAAATGAAGAGAATACACAAGGCCAACTACAACATTCCCCTTTCATTCCTGAAACTATAGACGTTGAACATTTCAACTCAGTTCTTGTGTCATTGAAGAGAATACACAAGGCCAACTACAACATTCTCCTTTCATTACTGAAAGTATAGACAGTGAACATTTCAACCCAGTTCTTGTGTAAATGAAGAGAATACACAAGGCCAACTACAACATTCCCCTTTCATTCCTGAAACTATAGACAGTGAACATTTCAACCCAGTTCTTGTGTAAATGAAGAGAATACACAAGGCCAACTACAACATTCTCCTTTCATTACTGAAACTATAGACAGTGAACATTTCAACTCAGTTCTTATGTCATTGAAGAGAATATACAAGGCCAACTACAACATTCCCCTTTCATTACTGAAACTATAGACAGTGAAAATTTCAACTCAGTTCTTGTGTCATTGAAGAGAGTACACAAGGCCAACTACAACATTCTCCTTTCATTACTGAAACTATAGACAGTGAACATTTCAACCCAGTTCTTGTGTCATTGAAGAGAATACACAAGGCCAACTACAACATTCCCCTTTCATTACTGAAACTATAGACAGTGAACATTTCAACTCAGTTCTTTTATGACTAAAGAGAGTACACAAGACCAACTACAACATTCCCCTTTCATTACTGAAACTATAGATGGTGAACATTTCAACTCAGTTCTTGTGTAATTGAAGATAAATATTAATTGCAGTTAAATGCTGATATAACTGGTCTATTAATCATCATGGAAGCTTTTTTTTTCCAGTTCGTCTTAAGTCAACACAGCTAAAGCCTACAGCTGCAGTCAATAACCGATTATTTCTAAATCGGCATTCATGTTTTGTATTCCTCCCTTGGCTTTTTCCAGATACTCTAACAATGTTTATGTGTTCTAGACACTTGTTTTCATCAAAATTAGTATTGCTTAGGACAGCTACAGTTCTTATAACATATATTTGTTACAAAATCAATTTTTTATTGCATGGAAGTTATGATACTTTTGAGAAAGATGTTTCAATATTGGTGATGTCTAAAATAAGCAAAAATACACGTGTTATAACTGTATAAGTGATAACTTAAAAAATAAATTGAATACAGACAAACTGTTTACGAACACTACAATATCAATTTTGCTGTAGACTATAATTTTGTTTCAAATATAATTATAACAATTGAATTTTAATTACAAAATTTGAAATGGTTGTCCAGCCATTTTCATTTTCATATTAGTAGTAATAAAGATATAAGCTTTGAAATCATTGGATTACAACACAAAGCTACTCATAATGATTACGTAGGTTTCTAATTGATTTCAGTACTAAAGTTACAAGTAGTGTGTAGCTAAAAATAATGCTGGTACAGATCTAGTTAGAACCCCCCCACACACAACCTTACCACATCATGGAGCACCCTCATTTTGAGTAATAGATTCTTAGAGTATGGATCTCTGATATGGTTTAACATAATTTGAAATAATCATAAATCAAATGTTTGGACCATGTCTAACATAAGTAATACATTTAACGAGCTCCAACATTTGTTTTTTAACATCAGTGTTGGTCAAATATTTATTGATTTTTGTATGTGGAAAAGAAAATAGGAAAATTTATACCAAGTTACTAGAATGCTGTGGTTAAAAAAGTTAAGTCAGTAGCACATAGATTTTTATTTTAATCAATAAACAAGTCCATTGACTGTTCAATTAGTAAATATCATTAATCATCCAGCTGTAATCCAGACTGTACATTTTAACATTATATGTACTTCTAATGCAACATATAGAATTTTATACATCCACAAATAAATAATTGTGGATTTTAAGCACAGTATAGTTTTGCAGCACAAAATTAAATTTTCAAGAGTTAAGAATCAATACTGCATGATAGAAACTGTGATAATGTTTTTTTTTTTTAACACTAGCCTGTTTCCTCCTTACCTGGCCACTAATGCTTCCAGTACAGGGCCTCTTTCATCGTGCAGCAAATGAACTTCATCCTGAGAAGTACGTTCAATTTTAGTTTAACAAAACCAAAAATACTGTGCACTAATAAATATATATGTACACAATTTCAATAGAAATTCCTTCCAAATTTCCTAAGCAAAAAACCTACATTAAAATTTCATACAAAAACTCATTAATTCTGCACATACAAATGATTTCAGAGGTTAATCTGGATGATTAACAAATCTGAAAATGGATAGTTTAGCAGGCTTTCTTCCTACTCATAATATTCTATAGGTCAAGCAAACCATGTCAATTGATTTATAAACTCTTGAACATGCATGCCACCCTAAAATCCATTAGTGGTGCAAATAAAATACTTCTAAACAAAACATGTCTTCAGTTCCATCATTACCTGTACACAACACTGCACGTTCTGATGATTCTGTAACACTTTGTAGCATCATGTAATTACAAATAAAATACTTCTAAACAAAACATGTCTTCAGTTCCATCATTACCTGTACACAACACTGCACATTCTGATGATTCTGTAACACTTTGTAGCATCATGTAATTACAGATACTGACAAAAAAAAATTATTACAACAAATTTTGAACTACACTCGCTTCTAAAACTTTCTAATTCTAAAATGTTCAGTTAACGTAGCAGAAACTTTCAGTTTTGAATCAACAAGTAAAACCATCAAAATGGTATGTGAAGTTATTGACATACTTTTATGTTGTAAACAAGCCATATAATCCACAGTATAAAGCAAAGCATTCAAAACACTAATGAAGAACCCAACAAAGTCAGATTTACTCTAAGGTTATGGGAGTGCACCCGAGTTGTATGTAGTGTAACCAACAAAGTAACCATGAGATTAGTCATACTATAACTACTGATAATGTATGCATATCTTCACAAAACTTCACAGACTATTAGAAACATTAAAAAACTTTTGAACATAAAAAAATCAGTATTTAACTAAAGATTTTTCGTGATTTTGCTCATGACATTTTGCACTCAGAATGTTGACTATCTGATGCAAAGTGATTTTGATTTTGTGATTAAAAATTTTTTTCTCAAGTGAAAACTTTAAAATTTCATTTGTGTAATCACTGAAACCTACTATATATATCAAACGTTTTTCTTTCAGTAGATCTTTAAATGTTATCTCTTACTTGTACTGTAACACTATACATGGATTCTCTGAGCTGTAGACAAGTTATAGTGAAAAGAAAGGTTGTAAAGTGGAAAATAAAATGTGTATTTCTGTTAGTACTCATGACAAATTTCTAACCTTTTCCTATCTGTTTCCACTATATATTTTACTTTTAGCATCACATTATGAAAGTTCCAGAACTTAAGGCATTGATTTACCACTTGTGTCATTACCGTTTCCATGGGCTGCAGTGAGTTACTTCCAAAAGCAAAAAAACATGCTCAAACAAATAGAATAGTGCTTTGAACGTGTGTAGATGTTTATGATACAACTGTAGTCTGATCCCATAAACTTCAAAACATTACAAACACACATATTATTACTCACAAGTTCTTAACTTTAAGTTATTTTTCTTAAAACAAGGAACATTAAATAAAGAACACATAGAAAACAATGATTTCTCTTACTACTAATGCTAAAGAAAATTTTTGCACTCGTACTTTGTACTTACTAACCCTCGCTGTAAGCCTTGTTGAATCTTGCACATGGAGGGGAGGTTTAAACAAATTAGCTTTTGGAAATTTTATGTATGCATTTTGAAGTATAAAAAATTATAAATTACTGGATCGATACTACAAAAAAACCCACTAATTTAGCTAACTTTCTATCAAAGCTACAAGTGGGTCTATGTTATTCCAGTTTTGACTGTTGCCTTAATCAACATACTTCCAACATTCTAACGATATAACGACATTCCCTGTGTCAACAATTTACAAAGACCGATAGTCTTATGTAGGGGAGCTTTCAAATGGTTATAAACATGACGTCAATTATATAGAGGGTAGGATCAAATTCACTTTAAAGTCTAGAAAGTGGGCATGGTGTCTGTCAGGAGTTAGCAAAATATATTTTTTTTTGCAGGGAAGAATTAACCCGAAGAACTTTGAAAGAAGGATGTGTAAACAAGGCAACTAACCAAGTTTCTGTTTATTCAGTGTATGTCAATAAATAGTCAAGCCACAAAGATGGAAAAATAACATTTTGTGAACTTGTGCATCACATGACAACAAAAACTGAAGTTTAAGAATTTTTCTTTAAGGTTTCTTTTGAAATAAAGGAATTAAAACTTTGAACTATAATGTAAATTTTAATGCTAAATGCATTGGTTTACATTGATAGTAACATTGCTTAATTAAATTTTAAATGTAACACAGTAAAATCTCATGACATACAATACAGGGATACCTGTAATCATAAGGTTAAATACTTTTTGAATATTTTGTGCATTAAATATGTGCAATTTAAAAGTGTTAAAACTTCTACCTAAGTGTGTATGTGTGTGTGTGAGAGGTACACTTACAAAGATCATTAACCGAACAAGCTGTGTATACGTTCTCTCTCCTCCTTTGCGTGTTATGATGTCCCACTTTTCCGGCGTGCAAACTAACACCTGTGTGGCATTGATCTGCTCCCTGGTTAACTGGTGATCTCCTGTCAATTCCGATACCACAATGTTGTATGCACTCAATCTCTACAAAATCAAGTAAAAATACATTTATTTAAATACAAAAAAGAACTAACTTACTATATTTACCTATGACACTTTCATGGGCACATATTACATTTAGTTTCATTAAATTGAACCTTATTCTAGTTCTAAATAATAATAAAAAGCTTGGTGACATGTATCTAATAAAACCCCCTGATGGGTTAAAGAAACAATGTTAAAAGTCTCATGAAAATATTTTGCTATTGGTCACCTACCTCTAATAAATTTAAAATTACATTGGTTCTAAGTGAGAGCAGTACTATAATACTAAGAGGAATGGTCACATACATCTACTAGAATATCCTGATGAACTAGAAACAGATGCAGTATACAAGGTCTCATCAATTTGTAAATATTTTTATAACTATTAATTTCTAAGAGTTTAAGACCTCCTACATTTGAATAAAATCACGGCCACTTGTGTTGAAACACAAAATATTTGCTGCATAAAATAACTTGTTAAAACTGTTAGCTACAGATAAAGCAAATTTTAAACGTTATCATTAGCAGTGGAAACAATTTATCATCTTATGAGCCTGTTCTTGTAAGAAATAGAAAATCTTAATTGATATTTTGATACTTATTGATACTATTTACCAATATTTTTTATACATCTGTATGCGAACTTGAAATTCACTGTCAGAAAAGTGACATGTTTTTCTTGGTCTAACTTAATATGCTGTGAAACATAATACCAACATCATATTTTTCACCAATCTTCTACTAATATCATACAAAAATGAACGTCCAATAGTTAATTCCACTTCTCATAAAAAAGTTAAACATACTGAGTTATATTGCAAGAATGAAAAAATTATCAATTACAGTAAAGATATTTCAAATCTTCTCTCAATAAAACTGCATACAAACTATTACCTTGCTAAAATTTCCAACCATTTCTTGCACCAAAGACCTCATTGGAGCAATGTAGATAATTTTGAATTCGTCAACATTTATGGTTGAATCAGCATTAACGTGCTTTCCAATTTCTCTCATCATACACAACAAAGCAACGTTTGTTTTACCTGCACCCTGCAAAGAAAGTCATAGATTTTGGTAGTTTCAGTAAACATATATTAAACTACATCAAAAATTATGTAAAACTAACTTTCTTTTTTCTTCTGAGAACCAAAACTATTTTGATAAATTAAATTTTAGTTTTAAGCCTATAAAGCCTCAAAAGGTTTACGTTTTATAAAGCCCCATTTTTCCATTAAGTTTTTGTACAAGGTAAGAAAACAAACTACAGTCTTCCTTTGTAGAACATAAAATAAACACACAATTCTAATATTAACAAGATAGATAAAAATTGGGAATTTAAAGCCTGCAAATAGAGATCATGAAAAAAATAAATAAACAAGATTGGAGATATTGTAGACATTATTTACTCAAACTGCAAACCCTTATTCTGGCTCCATGCTGTTACCTAGAATAACATTTGGTGGAGTCAAAATAGGGATTTGTAGTTTGAATAAATAATGTCTACAGTATCTCCAGCCTTATTTCCTTACTTTATTTATGATCCCTATTTGCAGGTTTTCAAATTACCAATGTTTTACTTATTTTGTTTGCTGGCTTTTTTTAATGCTCAATTATGGACAAAAGATTACTTGAGATGGTAGCTAACTTTATACATTATAATAATAATAAACATAGCTAGTAGCTAGCTGATACGGTTTATGATGATTTAGTGTAGCCATGGACTATTTGATCACATTAGTTTCAGATGTAAAATGTTAAGCTGCAACAGGAAAGTTGTTTGAGAATACAGATATATATATATATATATATATAAGAATTAATTTCAGGCAGTAAGGATAACCCCACTTGCACTAGAATTATGATGTTTTTTTAGCTTATATAAACATAGAAGAAACAAATGAATTTTTCAATACTGCTACAACCTTCACAGTACCTTAATTAGAATTCTACAAAAGGTTTAGGTGCAATATACCAAGCCATTTTTGTTGTAGGCTGGCAAGAGAATAATAATAAGAAGAATTACAAATGGGCTGTCTCGCGTGTGCATTTTTATATGTGTACAGATTTTAAATGTTGTTTGAACTTTGAACTGAATATTTACTGTTTAAGGGGTTTTTTGCTCGAACCTTCTATTAGGGTTTTGTGAAATTCCTTGTGATCCCTATTATGAACCACTATTGTAGTTCATGTTATAAAATATTTAAATTACAAGTATAAGTAATAAAAGTGGCAGTATTCTATCAAACTAAGTTATATGTTATTATTAAGTAGAGAATACTTACAGTAGGAGCACAAAGAAGAATGTTTTCATCACTTTCCATTGCTGTCTTGTAAAGTCTGCTTTGAATTCTGTTTAAACTCTTATAACCTTCAAATGCTGACTGAGCATATTTTGGTAGACGATCGATTTGAACTAGTGACTGAAAAGAAACAAATGTTCAATTAAAATATAAATATGCAATATAATTTAAATTAAACATTTGACACTTAATAAATAAAACCAAGAAGCTTTTACTTAAATAACAAGTTTCTTTATAAATCTTTAGCTACTAAAATTATCTCTCACCATCCTCAATAACAATATGTTTTGATAAAATAATACTGATATTTGAAAAGGTAAGATGAAAATAACTAATAATGCAACAGAATTTTAAAATATGAGTACTATTACAGATACACATGTTAGTTCACTCCTGCTATCTCAGACTTTATTCTTGGCCAATCAGCATGAAACATCTTTTCAGGACATATTTACATAATTTACACAGACAGCAGACATTAAACTCCAGATAAAACAAACAGCTGGTGAACTTAACCAATATGATCGTCAATGTTTCACCAATAATATAGAATCTATTCACAGCTCTCTCTCATTAAACACATCATGCTGATACCATTACTACACAGCTCTCTCTCATTAACACATCATGCTGATACTATTACTACACAGCTCTCTCACTAACACATTAAGCTGATACCATTACCACACAGCTCTCTATTACTAACACATCATGCTGATATTATTATTACACAGCTCTCTCTCACTAAATACATTAATCTGATACTATTACTACACAACTCTCTCTCACTAACACATCAAACTGATACTATTACTACACAACTCTCTCTCACTAACACATCAAACTGATACTATTACTACACAGCTCTCTCTCACTAACACATCATG